ACTTCTCTCTCTATGGTAGGTCCAGAAAAATCATGGCACCATCAAAACCAGTCAAATGCCTTAGCCACCTGTTTATAGCGTTTTAGGCAGTTTCGTGTGATTTACTCCGATATCTAATTCTGATTGGCCTCTGTAAACAAATTTTGGTTTGGGTTCTACGACCCTCAACTGAAACGCATTCTACCTCTCAGGATCGCAGATTCCTTGCGTAAGATTGAGCATTCTACTGCTGTCCAAGAGATTATGGTGCCCTCCAGTGTATCAGTTGCCCACTCAGCTCCCGATCAGATTAATGGAGATTCTGATGAAGGATTTGTGGAACCAAAGCGACACCTATTTCAGAGAAAGGTTACGTACGAGGTAAGATAATAAATTATTGGCTAAAGGCAGATGAAATACTTGCAAGTGAGATGTCGAACCTCACTGCAAGCGAGACATGGAGTGGTTGTCATGAATATAGATAGGTGAAAGACATATGCTCTTAAATTGTTTGTTTGCTTGTTTTTATTGTTTAATCACTTTGATTCTTTTCTCATGCCACAAACTAATAGTACTTAGTACATTTTTAGTCGATCATAACCAAGAAAATGAAAGAGTTGAAGAAAGAAAGCAAGGCGATGAATGCATGGATGGACGAAACTGAAAAACTTGTGGGTTCACTACGAATAGACATGGATCCAAAAAAGGCCTCCAGGGTGCAGCAGAAAATTGACGTAAGTATGCAGACAGCCCTATAATTTATTAAAATTAAGCGCTGATCTTTGCAATCTATTCAGCTACATAGAAAAGGTGGTTATGATCAGATGTTTCGACAGGAAATCACCAAATTTAGAATGCTGGTCAGCAAACTGTTTGAATATCCATCCGAAATTTGAAATTTTAAGTTTATCGTCCGTAAACTGACTGACGGGTCTCTCGGGAGAGGATCATTATTGAAAGGATTGAGCGTGGGATGGACGAACGGACGGATGGACAGACGGATAGATTAATTTTGGTTATTAGATATGTTTTCTGCAGAGTTACTTTGACATAGTTTATCTATAGCCCGGAACTTGAACTTATGGTTTCAGGCACGACTGGGAGAGGTCAGCGAAAAACAGTCAAAGGTAAACCGCGTCATCCAGCTCAGCAAGGAGATTGAGAACGAGACCATTGACCCAACGGTTAATGAACCTTTCGTGAAGGAAGCCAAGGCTCTTGAGGAAAGGTGGGCCAAGAACAAGGACTTGCTTGAAAATCACGGAGAAAGAGACGCTGCCAGCAAAGCCTCGTCCGGAAGCTGCTGTATTCTGTTCTTGAAAAAACGATTGTTACCAGTGTGGTCATACAATTAACTGAAGATGATAATGAAAGCAGATATTCCAGCTCTTAAACCTTGAATAGCAAGATATATACTCACCGAATTACAAGGTTGATTTTTGATAATAATGGGTGAAAGAACAATCGATTAAACATTTAATCAATCAAATGTAAGAAACGCTGCGTAATTCCAGTTAAAACTTATTTTCTACATTACCTGAAAATTCATTCTTGAGGAATTAGAAATTTAACCACACCTTTACACTAACACTAGTGTTAACTTGCACAATTCTGTTCAGTCTTATGAAACGAAACGAGCAATTCCATTTAAATTTGTCATCTATGGTTATTTTGGCTTGAAGCACTAATTGACACAATTTAGTTAATCTGAAATCACTGATGTGTTTTACAAAGTGATTTTTGTTTTGTCCTCTTTAAATGACCCCGGTGACAGGGGTGATTAATTACATCGAAAGACGTCTGTAGATTTTATCGCGCAATTAAGATATTAGTTGTAAGAAAAGCAATGAAATAAGTTTGAATTTAATTTACTACGAAGATATTTATTAGCGAATTCATCTAAAAGTATCACGCCTAATGCAAAATCGTAAAATTTGTTCGTTAAATTAATTACGTAAAAGAAAAGTTAACGACGGCTTAAGTTGCAATGAACAGCAAAATTCAAAATGGTAATTGACAAGCATTAAGGAATGCATGTATTCAAAACATGAAAAGTAGTCTACCAGTGCAATTTTAATGGACTGAAATATTGTCATGTTAGTTTGGTAGTATCAACTGAGTAAATTGCACACCGTAAAGGGCTTCAAAGCTGACGTTCCCAGAGCTAGCCCTTCATCAGAGCGAATGGAATATTGAGGAATGAATAGAATTTTGTTACTCTTATGTATAAACTGGCAAAATACCGTAGGTTAGTCGAAAGGGTTAAATAGAGCCTGATCTCTGGTTAGAATTGGCTCGAAATTGTCAAGACGAAACTATACCAACTAATTTGTAAGACGCAAGTTAACTCATTCATGAAAAACACAAAAAGTTTTTTAGTTTATGTCTGAGCCTGGCTATCTGCCCTCCACTTTCCTTTCTAATAAAGTTCGGGTATAAAACGCACTGCCATTGGTTGAAAGAGCGTGCTCTATCAGATTACAAAGCATAGAGCTGAGCTAAAGCTGTCACGCCATCTGACAACGTCTCGTGTTTCTCCCTACACTTCTTTCGTACTGTAGCCAGCTCCCTCCGTGCTTTACAACAGAACAGAGCACAGTCAAGGATTCTCTATTTGTATTGCATATGTCCAGAAGTAGCTGATTGAAAACAAATGGTGGCATAAGGCACTGACATTACCTATGTTGGGGCATACCTTTTGTGACGCACCTAAAGCTGATCCGTATAGGGATTTTCTGATTAGGAAAAGTTTATGTAAACTTTCCGTGGTTAGTACCACAAGAAATGATCAAACTATAGTTTACAAAACATGATGTAGGCACAAAATGCTTTTTGGGATACGGGATACCGAAGGAAAAACAAATTAAAGGGTTAATTGGTTTTGCAGAAAGACTTCCTCTCAAAATACACACCTTGTTGAGAAGGGCGAGATGACGCTACAAGCCGGCCATCGTTAACAGATCACATATATGTGATTAGGGGTGGGAGCACACGGACAAAGGAATGATGAGGAAGGATTCCCTTCTCCTTCTCCTTTTCTTCTCCCTCCCTTTTATTCCTATTTCCAACTTTCATTTGCTCCTGCCATCAAAAACTGACTCTAGCGGGCTGTCCAACATGTTACGGAGAAATGTTGAGCACTCGATGGAACTCCATCGCTAAAAAACCTCCCCTGCACGGTAAGCCATTGAAAGAAACTGGAATATTAGCAACCTCCAAAAAAATATTTGATAGATATATGAAGATTGCATTCGAAAGAAAATGAGGAATGTGGGATTATTAAAACATATATTAATCAAAAGGATTCAGAAGACACAGAACCTCATACCTGCGATAAGGCTTGAATTATGGCAAATTTGAAACTTGTTTATCTTTGGTTTCTCTAAATAATGTTCCGTATCCTTGATTTTTTTCTAAGTTATCTTTTTCCCAACCATCAAAAATTTTCGGCTCTCCCTACCCTCTCCATTCGTTTCATTTTTTACCATCCTTTTATTCACCTCTACAAAACATAAATTTTTACACCAAGTTCGTTTTTTATTCTATCCACCATTTTGTGTATTGCAAGGAGAGTGTTCCTCGACCCTCTTCATTTCATATTTAATATTGGAGTGATGTGCGACATTAAGAGAAAATAGTTATGACGTGATAGTCAATGATAGTGAATGAAAGTTAAAACTGTCATCGACTATCATCATCGTGACCATTTGAACGGGGCTTAATTCCCTAAATCAAAAATCTATGTTCGAACTTTGCCTGGCTGGGGTGGGGAATTTGAATTGTAAGTGTCAAGTCTTTCCAGCCCAATATAAATGTTATGTCTTTAAAGATGGAGGTGTTTAATTTAAGGTAAACGTTTTACTTTCGTAAGAGAATGGCTCAGGAGAAAAGGTGTAGATGGTCCAGGTTTCAAAGCTTGCTCAACGTGTAGAAAGTTATGGTGGTGGATTTCTCCTTTAACAAAGCATCGGGTGGGGCATTTGAACACAATTTTCTTTCAGGGTTTAAATCCTGGTGGGTTCACACGCTTATTCTCGATTTCCCGCGCAGCTTTCACGCAAAACATGCGCGTTCTTCCAAGACGGGGAAGAGCTGGGAATAAAGTGGTCGAATCCAACATGGCGGTGAGCCTAATGTCATAGAAAATCCCGAACAAGAAGACAGCTCAGCATCTTTTGCCTTTGAGACATGTTTTCCATCGTTAAGTGAGGTTTAGATGCAAGGGAATGTAGGCCATATAGATCTAAATCAGATACATGTAAGTAAAGAAATATTTAAAGAAACTGCTTGTTACAAATATGTTCGTTTTTGGTATGTTATGCCTGATCTTGGCAAGATGTCTACACAGTGACTATAATTAGAATCGACTCATAATTTCCAGTTTAGGTGATAGGATAATGTTGAATCATGAGTAAAAGGGATCATTGAATTTGAAATTTATAGGTTAGATTTTTGTCTTGCAAGTTTGCTGCTTTTATATCCGTCACAGTTCAGCAAATTCAGGTTTTTTTAGAGTTTAGAGTTATGGGCTGCCTCCATGGCTTAATGGTTAATTGATTGACCAAGTGGCTGATAGATTGACAAATTGAATGATTGACTGATTACTTCACTTTCTATTATAGCTAACCAGCTGAACAGCTGAGTTTCATTTATTGATTGACTGATAAAAGACTGAATGGCTAGTGGGCTGGCTCAGGCTGGTTGGGCTGATCAGTGCTAACCAACCAATGGAGTAATTGCTGACATTTCAAGCAGAGGCCCTTTGCTCTGAAGAGGGGACAACCCCTCGAAATGTCAGCCTTTTCACTCTTTATGGTGGTGCCAATTTATTTAACACTAACACTAAATTACCTGCTATACTCTCCCACTGAGGTAGCACCACAGTTTCTTTAGAAACTTACCTCCTCTATTCAATGGAACAATTGACTGACAGACTGGCAGAGCAGCTGACTGAGTGACTGACAGACTGACTGACTGACTATTTGATTGAACACTTGCTTAAATAAATAAAGGGCTAAATGGCTCAGGCTGGTAGGCTTACTGAAGGCTGAGTGACTGAAAAACTTATCATTTGACTGACTGAATAATGGGCCAGCTGACTGGCTGACTGGTTGACTGACTGTCTGTCATTGACTTACTGACATATTCACAGATTCATTAGCATGTCTGTACCACAAAAAAGTGCTCAATGCAGGCAGATAATTCACCAAGAAACAAGAACATGTTTTAATTGCCATCTTTATTGCTTGCTTGCCCTCGATGCCTTAGGGTTGTGCATGCACAGGCAAGCCAGTTACAATAACTGCACTAATTCAGTGACTTACTGATCATGTGATTGATTGTTGGAATGAGTCAGTTGCCTATTGACAGGCTGTTCAATTAAATAACTGGGTGACATACCAATAGAATGACTTATCTTGCTGTTTAGTGCAAAACACTAGCAATTTACATTAGGGGTTGCAGGTGGGGACAGGTGAAGAACTCTTGTGTAATTGAAGATAAGAATGACCCATTTCCCACAGTACTAAGAAAGAAAAGGAACTTCCTTTTGAACAATTTTTTTCATGGGTTAAACTTTGATCTCGAGACATATCTTTAGTTAACCCTTTAACCCCCAGAAGTGATTAACATGTAACTTCCCCTTACAGTATCCATATATTATCCGGCAAAAAAGGTCATGAGAATATTCCAACATAAAGTAGAACTTATCTTGCTCTAACACCAAATTCTTGAAACTAATTTACAAAGAAATATGTAGTATCCAGAGGGGAGAATTCATAATCAGAACTTTGGAGTTCAAGGGTAAATTAAACTCTTGGTTATCTCCCTTAACTTGAAGGTACATGCATGAATAACGAATTTTTACTGAGACGCAGTCTTGGTTTCCAGTTGGCTCTCACATCTATCACTTGCTACACAAATTGACCACAGGCAAAATGAACTGATTGAGTCACTGAGTGCTTCAATCATGAACTTCCAAGTTGTCAGTGAAACTCATTGAGCATAAGGTGATTAATGGACTCAGTTGTATTAAGTTGTTACCATATTTATTTATTATATATGCCATGTTGCCTAGAAATACAAGCAAGCTAAATCTTCTGTTGATCTTAATTTCCTCCATATAGTACAAGAAAGAGGTGCTGCAGACTTTGTTCTTACCTTAGACAAGGCCTTTCCAGAAAACTCCTTAGAAAGAGATGCCAGTAAGTATGGATTTTAGTCACCATATTATCTGTAATTGCCAAGAAGAAAATTCTGTAAATTCTCTCCTCACTTGCAAGGTCAGTGTCAAAGTATCAAAACTCAATGTCTACATTCCTTTCAAACAAATAGATCTAATTGTATTGAATTGAACTTAACTTTAAAAGTGAACTGTTTTTGAAGTGGTATTTCTTCTGTTAAATATGACTTCTTGCTTGAGAAGCCTAATTAAAAATAATAACAATTTTTTGTGGTCTGCCACATATTTATTACCTGCATGTTAGCATGAAATGCCACAAATTTGTTCTTGTTTTGTCATCATACTTATTTATATATTATTTGTCATCTGATTCCCATCATGCTTCTGCTTAAATGATAGGCAGTGAGTGGCCCCTAGCTTTTTTTATTATTATTTGGGGCAGGAACTGATATAAAATAGTCTGAACCAATCATACGACAGCGGCTGAAATACTAAGTGAGCTCCATCCACATAGAGCATTGGCATGTTCTCGCCTGAATGGCAATCAATTTTCAAATTTCTAAAGGTTCACAAGATATTTGATAAGTTGATCATGCCCACACTAAATTCAGACATGATGGGGCTTGTATCTTGAGAAATGGGCACACACATTTGAATTGTCCTAATCTAAGGCTTGTACTTAGGGATGATTGCAGCTATAACTATTCCCGTTTGACAATTTCTTTTAAAAATATCTAGCATTAAGAACAAAATCTTCATGTTTTCGTTATTTGGAAGATTACGACACATAACGTCAGGATATATGATATGATACAAGGTTGCAGCCATTATTTGCAGTCATATGATTTTTCACAGGATTTGAAAAGCTGCTCGGATCTTATATCAAAGCTCCTTAATATGTGGTAAGAGGGAATCATTCGAAAATCAATATGATTTCATTTTATACGACTTTGTCAGAATAGAAACGTATGAGAGATGGGAAAAGAAAAAGTTTATTAGAGGTCAGATACTAACTTGGTTGTTACTCTCAGTCGGCGCATACACGCTAGCCCAAGCATAGTGTAGTTCTATTAAGTGTCTCCTAGCTTCCTGTCGGTTTCCATACCCAAGCATGCATCTTTCTAACTTAACATATATGTCTCCGCTTTTAATAATAAGGTAATAACTCAAAGGGAATGTTTAACTCTGTAGGAATACGAATTACTTTCCGTGTTGGCTTTCTTTTTCGAGATTCTTTAACCAGAACTCCCAATATCCTCATCTCACGCACTCTTACCGATCTCCTTTATTTTGTCTTTTCGTAAGTATCTCGCGCACACTTAAATTTCTCTTTAAATTGATTGTTTCGTTAGTACCTCGCGCTGATTGTTTCGTGGTATCTCGTGTACTCTTAGATTTCTCCGTTATTTGACTGTTTCGTTAGTATCTCGCGCATTGTTAAATTTCTCAGTTATTTGATTTTTTCGCTAGTATCTCGCGCAATCTTAGATTTCTCTTTTATTTGATTGTTTCGTGGTATCTCACGCACACTTAGATTTCTCTTTTATTAGACTTTTTCGCTAGTATCTCGCGCACCTTTTAGATTTCTCCGTTATTTGATTGTTTCGTCAGTATCTCGCGCACCTTTTAGATTTCTCCGTTATTTGATTGTTTCGTCAGTATCTCGCGCACTCTTAGATTTCTCCGTTATTTAATTTTTCGTTAGTATCTCGCGCAATCTTAGATTTCTCTTTTATTTGATCGTTTCGTAGTATCTCGCGCATACTTAGATTTCTCGTTTATTTGATTGTTTCGCTAGTATCTCGCGCACCTTTCAGATTTCTCCGTTATTTGATTGTTTCGTTAGTATCTCACGCACTGCTAGATTTCTCTTTTATTTGATTGTTTCGCTAGTATCTCGCGCACCTTTTAGATTTCTCCGTTAATTGATTGTTTCGCTAGTATCTAGCGCACTGTTAGATTTATCCGTTATTTGATTGTTTCGCTAGTATCTCGCGCACTGTTAGATTTCTCCGTTATTTGATTGTTTCGTTAGTATCTCGCGCACTCGAGATTTCTCCGTTATTTGATTGTTTCGTCAGTATCTCGCGTGCTCTAAGATTTCTCCGTTATTTGATTGTTTCGTCAGTATCTCGTGCACTCGAGATTGTTTCGTTATTTGATTGTTTCGGTAGTATCTCGCGTGCTCGCGTGAGATTTCTCCGTTATTTGATTGTTTCTCGCGCTCACTTAGATCTCTCTTTTATATAATTGTTTTTTCAGTATCTCGCGCACACTTAGATTTCTCTTTTATGTAATCGTTTCGTCAAATTCGAGATTGTTCTATTATTTGATTGTTTCGGTAGTATCTCGTGTGCTCTAAGATTTCTCCGTTATTTGATTGTTTCGTTAGTATCTCGCACACCTTTTAGATTTCTCCGTTATTTGATTGTTTCGTTAGTATCTCGCACACCTTTTAGATTTCTCCGTTATTTGATTGTTTCGTTTGTATCTCGCGCACTCTTAGATTTCTCCCCTATTTGATTGTTTCGTTAGTGTCTTGGGCACCCTAAGATTTTTCTGGTATTTGATTGTTTCGTTAGTATCTCGCACACTAATAAATTTCTCCGTTATTTCATGGTTTCGTTAGTATCTCGCGCACTTTTAGGTTTCTCCTTTATTTGATTGTTTCGTTAGTACCTCGTGCACTCCTAGATTTCTCTTTTATTTAACTGTTTCGTTAGTATTTCGCGCACTTTTTAGATTTCTCTTCTATCTATTGTTTCATTAGTATCTCGCGCACCTTAAGATTTCTCCTTTATTTCATTGTTTCGTTAGTATCTCGTGCATTTTAAGATTTGACCGTTATTTGATTGTATGGTTTGTATCTCGCACATTTTCAGATTTCTCCGTTATTTGAACGTTTCGTTAGTATCTTGCGCAGCTTTTAGATTTATTTTTTATTTGATTGTTTCGTTAATATTTCGCGCACCTTTTAGATTTCTCTTTTATCTAATTGCTTGGTTAGTATCTCGCGCAGCCTTTAGACTTCTCTTTTATTTAATTGTTTCGTTAGTATCTCGCGCACGTTTTAGATTTCTCTTTTATTTAATTGGTTTGTAGTAACTCGCGCACTTTTTAGATTTCTCTTCTATTTAATTGTTTCGTTAGAATCTCGCGCACTCTTAGAGCTCTTTTATTTAATTGTTTCGTCAGTATCTCGCGCACACTGAGATTTCTCTGTTATTTGATTGTTTCGTTAGTATCTCGCGCACACTTAAATTTTTTCTTTAATTTGATTTTTTCGTTAGTATCTCGCGCACTCTAAGATTTCTCCGTTATTTGATTTTTTTTTTAGTATCTCGCGCACAGTTAGATTTCTCTCTTATTTAATTGTTTCGTCAGTATCTCGCGCACTCTTAGATTTCTCTTTAATTTGATTGTTTCGTTAGTATCTCGCGCACACTTAAATTTTTTCTTTAATTTGATTGTTTCGTTAGTATCTCGCGCACTCTAAGATTTCTCCGTTATTTGATTGTTTCGTTAGTATCTCGCGCACTCTAAGATTTTTCCGGTATTTGATTGTTTCGTAAGCATCTCGCGCACACTTAAATTTTTTCTTTAATTTGATTGTTTCGTTAATTTGATTGTTATCGCGCACTTTAAGATTTCTCCGTTATTTGATTGTTTCGTGGTATCTAGCTCACACTTAGATCTCTCTTTTATATGATTGTTGTTTTAGTATCTCGCGCACACTTAGATTTCTCTTTCATCTAATCGTTTCGTCAGTATCTTGCGCACACTTAGATTTCTCCGTTATTTGATTGTTTGGTTAGTATCTTGCGGACTCTAAGATCTCACCGTCATTTGATTGTTTCGTTAGTATCTCGTGCTCTTTTAATTTCTCCGTTATTTGATTGTTTCGTCAGTATCTGGTGCACTTTTAGATTTCTCTTTTATCTCATTGTTTCGTTAGTATCTCGCGCACTCTAAGATTTCTCCTTTATTTTATTGTTTCGTCAGTATCTTTCGCACACTTAGATTTCTCTTTTCTTTGATTGTTTCGTCAGTATTTTTCGCACACTTAGATTTCTCTTTTATTTGATTGTTTTGTTAGAATCTCGTGCACACTTAGATTTCTCCCTTATTTGATTGTCTCGTTAGTATCTCGCACACTTTTTAGATTTCTCTTTTACTTGATTATTTTGTTAGTATCCTGTGCACACTTAGATTTCTCCGTTATTTGATTATCTCATTAATATGTCGCGCACTTGTTAGATTTCTCTTTTCTTTAATTGTTTTGTTAGTATGTCGTGCACTTTTAGATTTCTCTTTTATTTGATATTTTTGTTAGTATCTCGTGCACTTTTAGATTTTTCTTTTATTTGATTGTTTTGTTAGTATCTCGTGCACTTTTAAATTTCTCTTTTATTTGATTGTTTTGTTAGTATCTCGTGCACACTTAGAGTTCTCCGTTATTTGATTGTCTCGTTAGTATCTCGCGCACTCTTAGATTTCTCTTTTATTTGATTGTCTCGTTAGTATCTCGCACACTTTTAGATTTTCCTATTATTCAATTGTTTCATTAGTATTTATAAAATAATTCAAATAGTACGCGCGCTCTGATTGGCCATAAAACCATTTTACATGAGCGTATGTGAACACGGTTTTTGTTCCTCTTTCATTAGTTATTTTATAAAAGATAAGCTGGAAACCACTCCGCTTCGCGGCGTGGTTTCCTACGCTTATCTCGTGTTCTCCCAACCTCCCGCGTGTTTACATCAGGCTATGTAAACACGGAAACCATTTTACATTTCTTCACTCGCGCACTTTAAGATTTCTCTTTTATTTAATTGTTTCGTTAGTATCTCGCGCACTCGTAGAGTTTTCCGTTATTTGATTTTCGTTAGTATCTCGAGCACTCTTTTAATTCTCTTGCATTTAGGTGTTAGTCTGTATGTTGGAAACTTTTGAAATCTCTTAATCGATTGCTTCGTTAGTATCCTGTACACTCCTGGTATTCTCCGTCTTCTTCTGTTTGTTTTTATGTTGCGCACTCTTAGACATATCCGTTACTGGAATGTTTTGTTTAAATCTGACGCACTCTTAAAATTTTTCGTTATCGATTGTTTCATCGGTACCTTGCGCACCTATATAATTCTCCGTTATTTCATTGTTTGTTAGATCCTTGTGCACTCTTAGAGTCCTCCTTTATTTGATTGTTTCCTAAGTATCTTGCGCACTTACTCTTATATAATAAAACAAACAAAAATCTTTGTATTCCTAGAATCTTCCCGTATCTGATTGTTTTGTTAGAATCTCGAGCACTCTTAAAATTATCAAGTTTATTAGATATTTCGATAGCGTCCTTAGAATTCTATTCTATTTGATGCGATTTTTTATCTTGAAATCCTTGAGTTATTTCTTCTGCAATCCTTAGTAGTCATCCTATATCGCTGGAGTTGGACCTGAAATTCACACACTTATTCGCTCACTCACTCTAATGTGATCTGCTGGTGTGCTCGCAATACATTTGGCCTCGTTTGAAAAATGACACTTTTATTTACGGTCGGACGGTCATACGCTACCAAATTTTGATGGATTTCTATCATTTTTTTAGTATGCTGCTTCCCTTCCTACCTGCGATGCAATTGTTTGCATATGCTAAAAGTAACACTTTTTACTTAGGTCTTACGGTCATACGCTACCAAATTTTGATGGGTTACTACAATTTTTTTTTAGTATGGGGCCTCTTTACACTCGTTCTTTGACCAACACGATTTCGTCGACACCGATGAAAATTAACTCGAAGTTTTTTTATCTCAAGTTCAATTAAGTTCAAGTTGAATTTCTGATACCGTAATACTTTTTGTAGCTTTCTATTGAACTTCTTTAAGTTGTAATTCATTCAATGCACCGTACTTTGTTCAATGATTAGACGAAATAGACCCAAGAAATCGGTGTTGATTACTTTGAACCCGCCTTTTAAAGTCAGACAACTAAATTGAAATAAAAAATAATTTCACAAGTAATATTCATGTTTGCTCTCAGCCTTGCTCTTTGATTATTTTGAACACGCCTTTCGAACTCGAAAAACTAATTTGAATTACAAATGGTTTTCAAAGGTGATATTCATGTTTCCGCTCAGTCTTGCACGTGGAAAGAGCTTACGAACTACAAGAAATTTGAGCGTCTCTATAGCCTCGGGAAACACGTCATTTCAACCCTATTACCTTGGATATTGCCTGTTCTGTACACGTCGGCGAGTGTTTCTTATGCTGAATGAAGTGGTTCAGACATTATGTCGAAGATTTATGCTTTTCACCATGTTGCGACTTTTCCTGAGGTAAATAACCTACAGAAAAATGCATTTGAGTAGAAATACTGTGTTCATCTTTTACCTTGTGGCCCTTGTTAATTTAATTTACAGAGTCAGATATAATAAGGAAGAGCATAATGCACATAGCACAGAGTAGGACAAATCTTCAGCTGCAGCCGCCATGACAGTTCTTCTTGAACGTCGCTGAAGTGACAACGAGAGGAATTCGTACTTTATCGTACTTACCGCTTATTTGCTAAATCCTTTTTTCATTCTTGTATATATATTTTCTATTTTTATAACAAACTAACTAAGCAAAGCTTACAAATCCGCTCAATGCAGAAAACTAACCAAATTTAGAGATGAAGGAAGCTGCAAAGTCACCAGTAGGGTGACTCAAACTAGACGTCGAGGATTGATGAATGCCATTTTGTTGTTAATTTTCTTGAGGTACATAACTTAAATGTAGGTACACCTTAATAGAAGTAAAGTGTCGCCGTTGCCCTCAGAAATTAGTTCAAATTTTTTAGTAGAATGCAAAAGGCAAAAGCACACCATGCACAGTAGCACTGCAACCGCCATGACAATTAATATTGCAGCATGTCATTTCTTCAACAATGGGGAGAAATTTTTACTTTGAGGTTAGGTTATTGATGGCTCGTGTAGTAATTTATCACTCTCCTATTTCAATGCTCATTTTAATTCTACATGCAGTAACTTGTATATGCTCACAGCATGTCAAAATAAGATTTGCTGTAAACGCGCTTGTTGCTTTCCCTGACATAAAATCACCGCTGCAGAGCCAAACGGGTGTTCGTGAAAACGTTTTGACGAGGTCTTTTAAGGAAAACAGGGGGTTTAGAGACTTTCAGTTCCAGTTTTATCTCACATTTTGTATAACACTGGATATCTCGCGCGTTTTCGGAGTCGGATCATAGCCGTTAAACCCCGGCTGGGTCATTGTGTTTTGTACTTCAGAAAATTCAATCCCACAATGCCTTTCTCCACCGAGGAATATAAATAGTTTAAATTGGTACCTGTGAACTGTCAGAAAAATCTGTCAAAATGCTAAAGGGAGCCCATCCAGGAGAAAACCAGAGGCTCTTAGCATCTTCGTGTCGTCTTCATGTAACAGATACCGGAATATGCTCCAATAGCTATGGGAGTTATACTTTCGTGTGCAGCGAGTGGCTTTTATCTCGAATCATTTTCAGAGGATTTCGAGTGTAACGTTACTTCACTGGATTAGGCTAGTAAATTTATGATCTCTTGGTTGACTTCTTGCAATCTAGACATCGATCTTTGTCATTCACGCTAAACTAAAGGACATCTACTTACTTAAAGCAGGGTATACTATCATTCGAGATCGATTCCAACTAACTCTTCTATTTTGGTTCTCTTTTCAGCAGAACGTCAAGCATAAAGTGAGAACATCACAAACTAAGAAATTCTAGGAAGGAAAGAGAATCTGGACAGTGTTCAACATGGTCAGTAAATCAATTTTTTTATTCGGAATGGAGTAACTACACTTGTACGTCCGATTTGCTTTGAACGCTTAACCCTTTCAATCCCAAGATCTCTTTAGTAATTCTCTCTACTGTCTTCCATTCAATTCTTATAGTGTTAGTTTGGAGAATTTGATATTGGATCAATTTGGTATTGGATCAACTAATGATACCCTTGTTGATATATTTTTTAAAATCCTCATCACTTGCCTGCTTAATGATGTAGCAATATCGTATGGCGAAATTCTGTCTTTGTCACTCAGGGGAATTAAAGGGATAAACCTGGATTAAACAATTAAAAACTAAAGCCTTTGATGAATCAATCACTTTGATGGCAAAACACTGGTGTCCAAGAAAGACGTAATTCTTATGGTGAATGACAATCCATCTAACCTACCTATTATAGCGACGGTTTCACTTAGCAAATATTCCTATTATTTCGATTTGTTTTAGTTTGTTTTAGAGAACACTGATCTTGAATAGGAGTAAAAAAAAGGGTTAAAAAAGAGAAATATTTGTTAGAAGGGTTTGCCTTAAGCTATTATTGTCAGGGGTTTGTCTGATGAAGAATTATCTGTTATACTTTTCTTTTCGAAACCGAAAAAAAGGCGAATTGCCATTGTTTTAGACTCTGGCAATTTTTTCTGACATTTTTGCAGACGGTTTCTTTTCATTTGTATTTGTTGCTGCTGTACTTCAGGAATACTCCAGATAGCTGCCCACAAAAAAAGACTAAAAATCAAATTATTACAAACTGCATTTCTAATTGTGTTCCACCCTTTCAAACGAACGTTTGCACCACTGATTTAAAATAATTTTCAAGGAGACGCAGGATGATTTCTTGAATCAAGGAAAACTATTCTTTTATATTCACAAGAGGACCTTTTTCAACTTAATAAGTATATTTTTTCTAAAGAGATTGACGGAATAAAAAAATGAAATTCAAAAATGGTCTAGACAAGTTAGAGACATATACAAGTAAAAGACTTACGTAGGAGAGGTGACACCTAGGAGGTGTCGTAAACATTGCGAATTAATATTAAAATTTTTATCTAAAATTGGGCGGGTCTTATCAGGGTTAAGTTGAAAGTATTTTTTTGAAACATTTGTCGTAGGTTTGGCCAGTTTTGTTGATAATCTGTAACGACACCATGAATAACTCTTAAGGAAAGCCGCCCAATATCGTCAGATTTCCCGAAGAATAATCTTTACCTTGACATCAGACAAAGTGAGGCTACTGAGACTCTAAGACTCTAATAGTACCAGCGGAAAAGGTTAAAAGAATACTCTATAGCTTGTTTCACGGAGAGAAAAATAAACGTGTATGTTCTATGTTTATTTTTGTATTAAAGATCATGAGTTACTTAACAGAGGTACAAAAAAAATACAGTTTATAATAAGAGATTACCTACAAAAATACATTACGTTACAATGCTGCTTTACTCACACGGCTTTATTGCTAACAGTGCCACATTATTAACAGGTAATTAAAACTTACGTTAAATTCCTTGAATTTACTGCAAAAACATTTTTTTTAATCAGAAAAGAATATAAAACATACAAATATGTTGTTAGTGTACGAAGCCCAGTGTTCAACGTGACAGACTGAATTGTTTTGTGGAATCTTTCTAATTTTTCAAATAGGTTCTACGTGCGTTTTATGTTATTAATTAATTTGTTTTATTGGAATTGTAGAGTCGAAAGAGGAGGATGAAAAAAGGGATTCAAAGAGGATTAGATAAATGAAATGGGGAACGACAGAAAGATCAAGGAGAATTTGGCTAATTGTAAGTTGTTTGAATCATTGTTTTACCTAATATTCAAAGCAACCATTACAATGGGAATTTGAAAGCATCGCCAAAACTTCCTTTTTCATGTGAGAAAATGATTTGCAAAACATAAATATTAAAAACACTTTAAAAGTTCTAAACAGATAATGAGAACTCCTTAAAGATTAACCAACTTAAAAAGATTAACTTTATAACTATGATAGTTTTTGAACTATCATAGTTATTTCCTCATGGTTATAATTCCACTCCGATGCATCTTCTCTTTCATTAAAATTATCATTTTTAGGAAAATTAAATGCCTCAGAACGAAGAATGTGAGTGCTTTTGAGGACGGCTGTATGTTATATCTCTGATGTTCACAAGCACTTTTTGGAGTATTAAATCAATTTTTGATGAACAAGGACACGCTGTCTTAACGAAATTATTACCATAAACATGAACCCTAATTTTCTCTCCATAAGGCATCGCCGAAGGAATGTAGTTTCCTAACCATCCTTCTCATAGAAAAAGTCTGAAACTGTACCTAGGAATACCTTTGTGAGCGTACCATAGTACAATAAAAGGAGCCAGTAGGGAGTCATTGTTGACGAGCAAGGCCGTGAACTATCTCCCGAAAGTATCGTTGTGCGCTTTTTGGAAACAAGTCTTATTAGATAGATTACAACATATTTCTTCCCTAGCCGTAGCTGTACATGTTAATTGGAAAAAGCTTTTTATATTTATTTTTGTAACTTAGACACCAGCATAAAGATTGGCCCTTGTATTTCCATTTTGCCAAAGATAACTTTTTGAAAAGGAAATTTTTGATTGGTTTTCCTATGGGAGAAATACTTTCCCAGTGGAAAATTGATTTTTGTTCAATTAGACAGAAATTTTTCTTTTTACGAAAGTAAGCGAACAGTACGTGTACAGTTAATAACAACGATAGTGTTGTTAGTGTTTATCAAACGTTAAACCAAATTTTACTTTTGTGAAGTGCCATAAAACATCTCAATCAACAAAGAGAGGTTATGAATTTGAACTAGGGATAACTTCTTTTGCGAGTTTTTTTGATGATGAGACTCATTTTTAATCGACAAATATAAATATTGCAACTATTAAATTTTTTCTTACGAGTCAGAAACAACATTTTATGGTGATAATTTTGATACAAAGTTTACATATCAAGAAAATAATTTGAACATGATTTAATTTCCAAGCGATGGAACCTCACTCTAAGAAACTGTTTTAAGTAATGAAAAAGTCATCAAAAAACTTTTAATCAGGCGGAAGAGAAATTTCAAATAAATTTAGAGAAACGAAGTAATTTGCTCATCGTCTGATGCATTGAAGGATTTTTTTTTGAGAACAAACCTTGATTAGCATCCTTATTTTCTAAAATTTAAAAAAGCTATTGTGGATATGACAAATATGATCCTTGAATTTCTCCATTCGGCGTCCCCAAGTGGAAGGGATCTCTTTCAACAACCGTCTTTCTCGGGAAGGCCTAAAACGTTACCACACGTATCTCTCCAAGCCTTATACGTCGAAACAGAACAATCGGAAGGAGTGAAGTTTTCAACTGTTGCTTTAAAGTTCCGACAGTTGGAGTAAGAAATTTTACAATGAATGTCATATGAATTTAAGGATATCCTTATCGGCTTGTCAAAAGGAGGAAGATTGCCCTGCTTCTTTGGCACTGTAACCGTTTCAAGCAAAAGTAGAAGATATTTTGTCATTAGAAAGGAGAGCTTAAGCTTATGGTTTCTTCTCATATTCGAATACCTGCGTTTAACGATTTGAAAAAAAAAATTACCACAGGTTCATAGAATTTCTTTCTTTTTTCTTATTTTAAGGAAAGTTTGTTTAAGGAAAGTACCTTTTTAACGAAGATAAATAGGTTTTTAACTGAGAAACATCTACTTTTAAACTTGGATTGTATTTGTTAATGTAAATGAAAACTAAGATCTTCAATCGGGAAAAGGAGCATACGTAACACCTCAAACTGTTGCTGAACAAATTAAATCAAAATCGTTTAAAGAGAACATTTTAATACAAAGGATGCATTTTACGTTTATATTGCGTAGCGAAAAACTGTGTCGAGAAAGTAGAGATACCTTCGAGCGGTAAAGAGATACATTTTGTATTTTTTAGGGTTTCTTTGAAAGCACGACTTATTTCCCACTCAGAGGAATTTTTGGAAATGACCAATGCTTTCCCGGAAGTCTGTATCACCCTGAAAGCTACCAGCTTTCCAGATACTCATTGGTATTTAACTTATTCATCTCTGCAAGCATGGAAATTGAGATAGAAAAACTTTAGTGTTGGCAACTATTTTCTAAATTTAAAAGCAACTTTCTTCTCTAAATGTCAGTTGGTGTTGATAGGCATACGTTTCTAGCTGTTTCTAGCTTTGCCAAAAGAATTCTTAACTGAGAGAGAACGATGTGTTTTTTTCGGATAAACTTTTTTGCATGAAAACCATCCATTTGATGTTTCAACTTGTGAGGCAAAATCAAATTTACATCTTTCGCATTTAAGATGCTTACTTAAAAATACTTTTCGTAAGGCTTAATGGAATTTCTTTATTTCTTAAAAGAGCCTTGGCCTTTTTTGTAAGAGGAAAAGCTTTTTCTTTACTGATTTGTTTTTTATCAAGGAAGACAGCCCTTTACACAAAAGCAGCGTTTCAAACACAGCGGATTTTTTTTCATTTGAAATTAAACAGGTTTTGGAATGAATAGTATATTTTCCAAATTCAACGGGGGCCTTTTCAAAATAAATACAAAAATTTCTCACAAATAAATAGTTTTTAACTGAAATTTCTTTTGGACAAATTTTAAATGGTCAAATGAAAATGTGATGCAAAAGATAAAGAAATTTAATTCGCTTATGCTTTCAAACAAACAATTTTGATATTATTTACTAATTTGAGGACGAGATTTCACTCTATTCAGTTAAAAATTATCCTTCAGTATGATATGTGTCCGTCGAGGAAAAGCGTCTTGAGGTTGTCAGTCCTTACCAGACAAATAACAATGCTGTTTTTTTTGCTTTCTAACTGTAAGTCAGTACACAAAGATGATATTGATGTTTCGACGTCTTTTGTCGCAAAATGAAAATTATCTTCATGATCGTTTAATAAATTTTAGTAGAAAATATATGGCATAGGGATAATGAAACAAAAAGGCTTAATTTCATATTAGAGTCTTACAGGAGATTTCTATGTCTTCCTTTAAAGATGCAGCTGTCCATCAGCTTGTCTGTTTATCAAAGAGAGAGGATATTTTTGTTTCAAACTGCACAGATTGAAAATAGTGACATTTAGTAACTTAGCTGTTAATTTTTCAAAAGGGACGGAAATGTTTAACTAACGAAAATAATTTTTAAAATCGCATTATTGCTAGACAGGTAAAAGTTCTGCAAGGGAAAATTTAACACCAAAATAAATGTTAATATTTCTTAACACATAAAAAATTCTAGAAGTTATTAGAACTGTTTAATTTCAAACAATTTACGTTCGTAATAAATTTCAGATTATCTTATTGGGAGTATCTAATTATTAAACTCTTACAGCAGACAGAGTTGAAATAGTGAAACATCTCCAAGAAAAAGTTGTGATTGCCTTTGAAAAAGGAAATGCTCTGCTTGTCGGATGTTTAACGATAATTATTTTTACATTTTGATAATTTTTTCCCAAGTATAATCCTCTTTTATTATGTTATCTTTTGCCTTGTATTTACCATTGTGTTCTTGTGGTAATGGACGAAGCCTGGCTCGTTCGATGACAATATCTTTCCATTGTCGTTTACATTAAAATATTCGTAACTGTGCAATTCTGAGGAGCTTTAATTTAAAAAGAAGCAGAAATTTATTTAATTTTAAGGGCATCGATAATTTTTTTTCTGAAAACAAAAACTTCAGATGAAAATTCTCGGGGCTCCTAAAATTAGATTTCTGCTCCTTTAAAGATTAAAAGGAAAAAGAACACTGATCAACGGGGCCTGAGCCCCTCTGAAGTGCTTCAACTATTAAATTACACGACGGCTGGGGATACAGCCGCCGTTTAATTTGAATTGTTAGTTGTGCACTACCGCTAGACCACAGAGGCTTTTGGTAAGAAAGTACGGCAAAATTACACTAGAAATAGGTTGGCTCTCATTGTTCATGGAAACAATAGGTTGTAAATTGAGCTTGATTCTAGTTATTATCATCCCTCTGAGACTTAAAATTCTTTTGTGTTCATCATGCATTGTTGCTTTCCTTTTTGGCAGGTTGCTTGAATTTAATTATTGAAGAAAGAAACAAGAGAAAGTTTTCAAGTCTCTATTTTTATTAATGTCAATAACAAGAATTGTCAAGTAAAGTAAGAAATGTACGTCTTACTCGAGCAGCGCAAATAGATGTTTACATTTTTTTCAAGTAGTACTTTACTAGATAAAAAGCACTAAAACTTTTGTTGAAATAAATGTGTAAATCAACAATATTATACTGCGACTATCGTAGAAAATTTGCTATGTCTTGATTAGTTTAATAAATGTTTTGTAGTAGAAGTCCAAGTGAAAAGTCCTTAAAAAGTAGTAGCAGTAGTAGTTTAAACAGGAACTCGTTCACAAATTTGTCAGTTTAGGTGTAGTGCAAGTGAAAACATTTTGTTGAATCTGTCAAAGAGTAGAAATAAAAATTCAGTTCGAAACTCTTTCAAAGATCAGTCTAGTTCTAATAATAGCACAAGTGAAGAGTTGTTTTAAAATCTGTCAAAGTCCAGCAGTAGAAGTGCAATCAAGTTTAAGTGCAATTGTAAAATCCACTCAAATTCTTTCAAAGTCCAGTAGTGGTAGTGCAATTGAAGAGTAGTTAAAAAATCAGTCTGTCTTGTTAAAAAAAAGTAGTTAAACTCTAGCAGTAGAAGTAGCACAAATAAAACGTTCTTCAAAAACTCAGTCGAAGTGTAGTAGTAATAACAAGAAGCGCAATAAAACGTTGTTCAAAGACTCATTCGAAGTGTTGTAGTAATAACAAAAAGTCAGTCATATTTTAGCAGTAGTACTACTAAAAATTGTTCAACACTTTCAGTAGTTGTAATAATAGAATGTTGTTGAAAAATCAAAGTCAAACTCTTTCAGTAGTAGTAGTTATAGAATGCTGTTGAAAAATCAAACTCTTTCAATAGCAGTAGTGATAGAAAGTTATTGAAAAATTAGAGTCAATCTCTTTCAGTAGTAGTAGCTACAGAAAGTTGTTGAAAAATAAGTCACACTCTTAAGTACTACTAGTAGTTGTAGAAAAACTTAAGTCAAACTCTTTCAGTAGTAGTATTAGAAAGTTGTTGAAAAATCAGTCAAACTCTTTCAGTATTAGTAATAATAGAAAGTTGTTGAAAAGTAAGTCTTTCAGTAGTAGTAACAAAGTTGTTGAAACATCATAGTCAAACTCTTTCAGTAATAGTAATTATAGAATGTTGTTGAAAAATCAAACTCTTTGAGTAGTTGTAGTAGTTATAGAAAGTTGTTAAAAAGTCACTCTGTATTAGTAGTAGCTATTGAAATTGTTGAAAAATCAAACTCTTTCAGTAATTGTAGTAGCTATAGAAAGTTATTGAAAAATCAGTCAAACTCTTTCAGTAGTAGTAGTAGCTATGGAAAGTTGTTGAAAAGTCAAAGTCAAACTTTTTCAGTAGTAGTAAAGATTTGTGCAAAAATCAAAGTCTAGCGATTGGTTGTATTAATTATAAACGGTTGTTCACAAATTCTGTCAAAGTCTGGCATTACCACTAGTAATAAAAGTTGTTTAAAGTATTAGTCAAATTGCAGTAGTAATACTTATAAAAAGTTGTTCAAAACTGAGTAAGAGTCAACTCTTTCAGTATTAGTAGTACTAATAAAAAGGTGTTCAAAAATGAGTCAAAGTCTATTAGTAGTAGTAGTACTAATCAGTCAAAGTCTAGCAGTGGAAGTATTACCAATAAACAGTTGTTCAAACATCGGTCAATGTCCAGCAGTACTGAAAAGTTGCTCAATAATCTGCCAATGTCAAGGTTTAGTGGTACTAATAAAAAGTTGTTCAAAAATCTGTCGAAATCTAGCATAAGTACAAGTAAAAGAGTTGTTAAAAAATCCACCAAATTGTGAAAAGTCGTTCTCTGGTCAGTCAAAGTGTTATTCTATTTCCATTAAAGGAAAGGGATTTGTAGTTTAACTGCAGAGTCAGTAAGAAGAAATAATACACACCAAAAGCAATACGATATAAGTCGGTCTCGACTCAAAAAGTTTATTCATATATTTTCATTTATATTTCTAAATATCTTGAACTTCTTCCTCGTCAGGGTTCAAACCTTAAAGAGATCGAAAACAGATATTAATTTTGAAATATCACCACAACAATTGCATACAGAGTTTAAACTACAAATCCCACTTGGGAAAAATCTAACACTTGAAATTACTGTTGAATATGCCACATATATGTTTAATGTAATTCTGGTTTGCACGCTTCTCTCGGTCTCTCGTGTAACCCTTTGCATTTAACTCAAAAGAATACTTGCTTCGTTCGAGTTTTGACCTTGAGTGGCAAAAGTTATTTCGGGCTGAAAAAGCTCACCTTGAAGTCAAAGAACATTTATTTAGAGGAGAGCAAGTCAATTATAAAACAGCAGTTCAAACGGTTTTGCACATAAGTAGAAATTCCAATCAAGCGCATGTTAAACATTCCCACAAAGGTGATACCTGTCCTAGGTAAGCCTATTGTTTCTATAAACAATGGGAGCGACCCTACTTCTAATGTGATTTTGTCATGTTCTCTTACCAAAAGCCTCTGTGGTCTAGCGGTAGTGCACATTTAACAATTTAAATTAAACGGCGGCTGTATTCCCCAGCCGTCGTTTAATTTAGTAGTTAAAGCACTTCGGAGGGGCCCGGGCCCCGTTGGTCGGTATCTTTTTTCCTTTTAATCTTTAAAGAAGCAGAATTTTATTCTAAGATCTCCGATACCTTTTCCTAGGAATTCTTTTTTCCTTGAGAAAAAAATTCCTAGAAAAAATTATCAGAGATCTTAAAATCAAAATATTCTCATTTAAAAAATTAAAGGAAATTTAGAACTTCAAATAAACAATGGCGGGGTAAAATAGCCGCCGCGTCGAGCGCTGAAGTCTTGAAAAAAAAGAAACCCACGAGAACACAGAGGAAAGCAATTTCCAAACGTAAATAAGAAATCATTTACAATGACTGGAGAACGATAACCCTATGCCATAATAATTGTAGCTAATATTTCGGAACCCTCATAGAAAAAGGGCAAATTAGAAAAAATCAACCCACATGGAAGGCTCAATAGAAAGACTACGAAAAATATCAGTGATATTTCCAATTTTTCTGTCATTAAAAAAAATATATAAAAAGAAATCGTTTGTTCGTAGATAAATACAGAGAAACACGCGCCATCAAACGAATTGCTTTTCCTCACTAAATGCACTCACAGCTTTGGTTTCGTGGGTTCTCGTCTATTCTAAAAACATTCTAGTAGGATAAACACATTATTTGGAAAATAAACTACACTGGAATGAAATCTCATCATTCAGCTACTGAACAATGCTAAAGTCACTGGAAAAAACTCTGTTTAGTTTCCGTAAACGTAAATTTCACGCCAGAGCAAATTAAGAGTACTTGTGAATTGACTAATTTCTGTTTTGTACTTAATTTTCACTTGAATATAAATTTTCAGCAACACCTTTGATTTAAATTTGTCTCTTTTTTCATTCACCTCGAAAATCTCTTCACAGTAAGAAAAAAAAAAGATGGTTTAAATTGTAAGCGTTTGGTTCTTCACAAAGTTTGTTGTTCGAGACAATTCTTAGTAATACTTTCTGTTTTGCATCAATTATTTCACTTGAAAAGACTGTGGAATTCTTCAGAAACGTTTGTGACTTACAATTGCTCCCTTTTGTCATAACAACTATCTTTCTCGTCGAAAAAGTCTTGGTGAGTTCTAATAATAGGAAAGTTGAGAAATCTCCCTTATGATACAAAAGCTTAGTTTATTTAATTATCATTAAAGACTTCATCAACCTTTCTTGGGAAAACATTTCTGTGATAAAAAAAATCACTTGTTTCACAAAACTTTTCATTTGACAAGTTTAATTTTAAAATATGATATCGCTCCTTTTGCTTCTGTTTTTGTTGATATGTGCTGCCATCAGAAACATACCGTCATCTTTCATGTAAGACCTCTTCATAAGAAGGTTGAAGATTAATTCTGAGCGTACATGACATGTAAAGAAAACTATTGAGTTCATTGGTAAAATTTCACAGCGATGATTCACAACTTGTTCTGTTTTTGTTGATATGTGCTGCCATCAGAAACATACCGTCATCTTTCATGCAAGACCTCTTCATAAGAAGGTTGAAGATTAATTCTGAGCGTACATGACATGTAAAGAAAACTATTGAGTTCATTGGTAAAATTTCACAGCGATGATTCACAACCTTTCCCGTCTAAAGATGACTTCCCAAGCTTTCTTTTTTGTTTGATTGTTTGTCTTTCCTTTTTGCACCATGCTTACAGAAACAAATGTGGCTAGTATTTTGGTACTTTTTAGGAGAAGAATGGTTCCAAAAATTCCACCCTTCAGCGACACTCAATCGGGGGATCTATGGAATACACCGTAAAGGAGGGCTTATATCCGAGGGAGCTCATAACCGGAATAATTTAGCTTCAAAACAGCAGCATAAATCCAATTCTTTCCAATAGATTTGGAACAGAGTCTATTAATTGTCTTGTTATGTAAAGAGTTCATGATTAGATACGCAACAAACTTACTGTTCTGCAAACATTTTACAAGTTTCCTGTTTGAAGTAGTACAGAGTTCCTGTCTCTTAAAACAAGACCAGAAAACCCCGAGGGGGGAGGGGGGGGGTTATCCGAGGGGGGCTTATGATCGGTGCTTTTTTGTTTACAGGCAGATGGGCCTACAACCAGGGGGACTTATAAGCAGCAGTCTACACTACTTACATTTCTGGCGAAATTTTTCTTGCTCCTCACGAAAAGTAAAACAGAAAAGGGAATTTTAGCTTGTTCCCCAAGAAATACTGAACACTCGTCAGCTATCCAACAAATTTCTTTTCCTGACTAGTAGCAATCACATACAATACTTCGGGGTTTGAAGGCTTTTTTTGCGATGTATCCAATACTTGAAAATAATAGACGCTTCACTGTGAAACTTATAATTTAAAGAAATTACAATTTTTCCAAGTAAGTGTATGTTTCTAGGATATATCCCCGATGTTCCTTGGAAAGTTTTAACGAATATCACATGTTAACATTATTTTAAAAAGTTCACTCACATTGCACGATCTCGAACAATCATTGGCACGGTTTGAAAGGTGTCTAATTTGACTTCAAACAGTAATAAGTTGTCTTGAATGTTTGATTAACTGAAAATAAACAAGGAAAATTTGCAATCTACTACGTCCATGAGCTTCGATTTAAGATGTAAATTGTATTCACATTTGGATCTACCACATATTTGAGTTACATCTGCGCCACATATTTGAGTTACATCTTTCTTGCCTAACCTTTCCGTTTTTGATGTAAAGACATCTCCAATTTCGATTGAGAAATTTCCCTGTTTTACGAAGTTCCCCTCTGTCATTTTGCAAACTACTTTTCAAATTCCTTCGACACTGCAGCTTATTTGTTTAAAACGTTTTCTACCATAAGAAAATCGTAATTTACAACTTTTTATTTTTCATTCTTTAAATTTTTGCAACAACCTGCAATACTCCTGGGGCATAGCAATAAGAGGCAAAAAGACAAATATGACAACAAGAAAATATGTTTGCATCAACTTCATAATTTGTAATGGCTGAACCCATGGTAGCAT